CTTAAATCTTATTGTTTGTTTTTAAATTGAGCAGAACAACTATTTCCTACTGACTGGATTGTCTAGTAAACAGTAACTAGAGAGGCCCTGGATTGCCATATCCTCTGGGGAAGCCATCAAAGCTTAAACTACACACAGTGAAGAATCTTGGCACTTGATTGCTACATTATCATCAATTATTGCAATCAACACCTCAGAATGGATACAAGGCAACAAGTGTATTTACATAGGTGTAGAACACAATATTGTTGTTTGTTATGTGCTGTCAAGTTGGAACTGACGCTAATAGGGCTTTTAAGGCGAGTGAGATGTTTAAAAAGTGGCTTTATTAGTTCCACACCCTCTGTGAGCTTCCATGGCTGAACAGGGATTCGAACTCAGACCTCCTGAATCCTAGCCCATCTCTTTGCCCACTACATTACACTGGGTATTGCAGACCACAATATGTGAAGATTAAAATGGATGTACTCTCTGCTAAGAAACGTAGTATTGGCACCATCTATTTGTCTTCTAACTTGTATTGCTACTGATATAAACATCGCTGCCGGTTGTAATGCTGATGGATTTGGGAAGCAGCAGTTTGGAAGAGGATAAAGCAAACAGTCCTGGTGCTAAATAGAGGAGCAAATGCTGACTGACAAGATCCAGCATATAAATTTCAGAACAAACAAGTTTATTCAAGCAATTCCACTTCCTGATTATTATACATGCAGACCCTTGCAGACAGAGAAACATCAGCTTACTTGCTACTAAGACTTGTGAAAGACTGCCAGGTCTCTTTCCCTTTAGCTTGGTGCTAGGTTTTACCTGGCATAATCTTTTCTGGAATATTGCCCAGTTCTTGAAAGCTTGTGTCAGATCAAAAATAGTAGTGTTTAAGCTATCGCGAGACTCTTCTTGGTTTTTTGAAAAACAATTAAAAATTCTTGGCTGTGTTCTGAAGATCCCGGCTGTGAAAGCCTTCACAAATACAAATTAAAAATTCATTTACAGTGGCTGACATCTTGCTAACAATGCCTGCAAGCATAATTCAAATGATGTAACTTTTGGAGGCAAACTGCTGTAAGTTAAAGCATACCTGTTGTGTACCGAGATGCATGACTAGGGTGTGCAATGGCAGTTAATGACTGGAATCTTCCTGGCAGAGATGCGTGGTCCTAAATGGTGATGATGGAAGCTCACAGAGGGTGTGGAACAAAAAAAAAATGGTCCGAAGCTCAACATCAAAAACACTAAGATCATGGCCACTGGTCTGATCACCTCCTGGGAAATAGAAGGGGAAGATATGGAGGCAGTGACAGATTTTACTTTTTTGGGCTCCATGATCACTGCAGATGGTGAAAGCAGCCACAGAATTAAAAGACGCCTGCTTCTTGGGAGGAAAGCAATGACAAACCTTGATAGCATCTTAAAAAGCAGAGACATCACCTTGCCAACAAAAGTCCACATAGTCAAAGCTATGGTTTTTCCTGTAGTGATTTGTGGAAGTGAGAGCTGGACCGTAAAGAAAGCTGACCGCCGAACAGTTGGTGCTTTCAAATTGTGGTGCTGAAGGAGGCTCTTGAGAGTCCCCTGGACTGCAAGGAGATCAAACCTATCCATTCTGAAGGAAATCAACTCTGAGTTCTCACTGGAAGGACAGATCATGAAGCTGAGGCTCCAATACTTTGGCCATTTCATGAGAAGAAAAGACTCCCTGGAAAAGACCCTGATGTTGGGAAAGAGTGAAGGCAAGAGGAGAAGGGGACGACAGAGGACGAGATGGTTGGACAGTGTCATCGAAGCAGCCAACATGAATTTGACCAAACTCCGGGAGGCAGTGGAAGACAGGAGGGCCTGGCGTGCTCTGGTCCATGGGGTCACGAAGAGTCGGACACGATTAAACGACTAAACAACAACAAATGATGATGGTGTCATAGCTATGACTGTTCACATATTTAATTTAAAGCTTCCTACTCCTGCCTCATGTTCTACAGTTCCCCAGAGATTCTTTTCCACCTGGAGAAGTCTTTGGGAGCCTCAAGATGGAAAGAGGGGAGCCTTTAAGGAGCCTTGTGGCTCAGTGGTGAAAAACTGCAATATTGCAGTCAAAACTCTGCTCACAATCCAGGTTCAATCCCAGGGAGTTGGTTCAAGGTTCACTCAGCCTTCCATCCTTCCAAAGTTGGTAAACTGAACATGAGGGGGAGGCAATATGTAGCCTGCATAATTAAATTGTAAACTGCCCAGAGAGTCCAATAAACACTCTGGAGTGGTATATAAGCATCACACTTTGTTTTTTTTTTTTAATTTATTGCTGACGGTGATTCAATTTCAGCAGCGAAATCAGTGGAAACAATTCCAGATATTAAAAGCTACCCACTCCCCATCCCAAGGCTCCCAAAGACTTCCCCAGTTTGAAGGGAATCCTTAGAGAGTCTAAAAACCTGAAAAGGGGGTAGGAAACTTTAAATTAAAGGTTAACATTGCCATTTTCAGCTGTGGGGTTGTGCAACAGGATCTCAGCCAATGTCTACAATGATTTCTTATACCATTGGCATTAGGTTTGCATAAAATCTCACAAGGATTCTGGCCAACATGGAGTAAATATAAAAATGCAATGAGAGCACTTAAAATTTCTGTCTTGTGAGATTTGAATTTCAAATGGTTTTTGCACATTCTGAGAATTTACATTTCTCTGCAGTGTGCATGTACACCCTTATGTTTCCTAAGGTATGCCTTGTGACTACAAGATTGTAGGGTACCGTCTGAGTGAGAACCACTGTGAATATAAAATGAAATTCAGTAAAGATGGTATTGAATTACATTGAAATGCTAGTGGAAGTGCTCCTGCCTGATATCCACACTCATAAACACTGACTGTAAAGACTAACTCATAAAGATACACATGAAACGATTAGGTAAACCTTTCAAAATTTGGCCAAAGGAAAAGGAAATAAATGTCAAGCACGTATGATAGACTGCATGGCTCAAGCAAACGCTAGTGCTTTATTTATCCATTTTTATTTCCTTGGTGACAGTGACAAAAAAGCCACTGCAATCAGTTTCAGGGGCATTAAAAAAAAACTGAAGTAGTTAAAAAAAAACCTGGCACGTTCCAAACAGCCAGGGAAATCCAGCTTTTTCATACATTCTAATGGAGATCCCAGAACTGCAATAATCCGGTTTCTTAGCAATGGAACAACAATGTAGATGTAAAATACAGTTCATATTCTGGTGCTGAATGCAGATTCCATGTGAGCATTGTGTTTTGCCCTCCACCTCTCACCAAACATGCTGATTTCATCTGGTGTAAAAGCCCCTATAAGCCTTATGAGAGAACTGCAGCCTGAGAATCCCAGGTGAGATGATGCATTACCGTCTCCTTTACATTACAAGGGGTCTGGGGGAAGAAACCAGACAGCGTCCTGGCTAAAGACAGAAATCTTTTTTAAAAAAGGAAGGGGCCATGAAGCTCTATAATGGATCTATAAAAACAAGGAAGAGGTATAATGGATTTATTTCCACCCCCTTTATCATTTAACAGCTAACATTTGAATCTCTGCAGACTTTTAAAATTCTGCATTCTTGATTACTACGAAACCACCAGGAGACGCTAGAGGCTCATTTCATTTAGTCAGAGAAGTTGTGCATACTTGATTTTAGACAGAGCGTGTTTCCAAGGAGAGCCTTGGTCTCCATCTGCTTTCTGCCTACACGTTGCTGCTGCTCTGGGAAAGGATCTATTGAGGTACCGTAGAGAGGGCGCACTCTAGACGGTCCCTCGTCCCTCCTCTCCCAGCAGCTGTGTTGCATCATTACACCATTCTGAAATGCATGACTCCTCTTCACCCGGCAGTGCAGATGTTGTTGGGCTCTGCTTCCATAAACCCTAGCTGGAGCTGAGGGTGGTTGGAGGGTGCTGGGACTTATTCAACGTTTGAAGAGCCACTGTTCCCCAATGCCTGCCCTAATGGCTCTGGTCGCAGTTTATTGTGTGGCAGCAGAACTATTTGCTCTGTCCATCTACTGAAAGAATGGACGTGATGGAGCTGCAGGACCCTTGGGTCAAATTGTTTTCATTACATAGTTGAGTTATGTAGACCTCTCTGTATTCAAAACACTTGAAACAGAACACAACGATATATACACTTGGTTTTTTTTAAATAAAATTGTATGTTTAATACAAAGAGCAACAGGCTGAAAGCCACATCCAAGAGGTATGATGTAGTTTAAAAGCTGGAATAACACACTTCAGGGAAAATAGATCTTCAGCCATTATGAGTCAGAGGGGGCCACTTATCCGTCCCCCTGTTCTCTTTTACAGACTACTAGTGAAATGATAAAGGATAAGGTTTTCGAAGACTGGGAATGTAATTTGGCACATATTAATTTTGATAGCTGCTGGACAAATACAAGAGAAAAAGTTATAGTAGTAGGAAAGACAATAAACTATTCAGTCAGTCCTTCCTTTCACAGGAAGGACTGATCCTCATGTGGATCAGTCTGTTGCACAAAATTGGTCTTCTAAAGAGAATGACTTGGAGGAGGACTCATAGATGCAAACTCTGGATCCACACTGACCATCCCCACTGCCCAAACAAAACAAAAAAAACAACAACAAAAAACACAAAGAGAGGGGTGGTGGTGGTGGTGGTGGTGGTGATTCTCCTTTAAAATAAAGTACACCCTCCACCTGGTTTTGCCCAAAGGATTCTGCAGAGCCAAAAGTGGATGTCTGGTTAGATTTTATTTTGAGGAGCAGGTCTAGTAGAAATTGGTAGTAATTGGGTTAGCAGAATGCTGCAAGCTAGTAAGACGGGCTTATGCCGCTGAACGAGGAGTTATTACTTAGGATGGTATGGTAAAAAGAAAGATTTACATTCATTCTTCCAAGAAATCCATTCAAGATAAAGCCAAGTCTTGGGTACAGAAACCCCTGAACTGTGGTTTTCAAGTATGCAAGCATGCTAGAGCCACATCATCACCACTTTTATTTTTATTTTATTTTATTTTTGCAGATGAAGAAGAAAGAAAACAGTTTCCTTGTGGAAGGGGAAGGAATCTGGAAGGAAGTGATCTAAGGAAAATTATCTCCAAGTGGTCACTCAAGAAAAGTCAAAACACAGTTATCTGACCATCACCCACTTCCCCCCACTTACAGCGTTGCCTCAGTTATTCTGACAGATGGCCCATAGTGGGTCTAATGAGTAAAAAGATGGAGACTACATGCCCTAGTGTGTTGTCTAATTAAGATTTACACAGTGACAGAAAAGACCTGTGCTAAAAACTGCATGTGTTAGTCTTAGGAAACCTTAAACTAAAGAAGGCACTGTTTGACCAAACGCCTTTACAATTACTGTAGATGGGTTTTAGTACCCACATTGAGAAGATTTTGGTGCAGAGAAAGTAATGAAACCTGCATTTTGCCTGATTTGTTTGGTGAGTTTTTCTCAAAGGGAGAGCAGGAGAAAATGCTGTTTCCCCGAGAATAGCACTGCCAAATGCAAACTGTTGAATCTGCATTTTCTGTATAATTTCAGCAATCTGGTCTTCATTATTTGAAAGTCAAATGCTGTTTAAAATTAAAAAACAAAAGTTAAAGAGAGGCCCTACTTGTGTGTCTGAACTATAAAAATAGTCTATGACAGTCCCTGCTTACATACAATGCACACACACACAAATTATTTTATTTTTTTCTAATGGAAAGAACTGCTGCTTTAGTCCAGTCAGGGAAAAATGGCTTCACTGTCTGGAAATGTGAGTGTGTATGTATGTGTATTTCCAAACTTTGAATTGGTTTAGGATATACTTGTCAGTTCCAGTTGCTAGAAGTACTTCCTGACTCCTGTCCTTCAGAAAAGTGCCAACTTCAAGTGTGAATGATTTATTATTCGGCACTCTGGTAATTTCCTCAGAGGATCCAGCAACAGAAACGAAATTCATTGCAGAATTTCTGATGTTCTGGAAGCCAGAAGGCAGTATGAAAATCAGATGTAAGTCCTGAAGAAACAGAAGGTTTTCGTTCAGGGCACATGGGAAGGGTGGAGGAATTTTGGCCCACCAGATATTTTGAACTTCATCCCCCAAGGAGCAGCATCCAGCACAGGCAATGGTAAGGAGTTCTGGGTATTGTAGTATAAAACGTCAGGAGGGCCAAAGGTTCCCCAGCTTTTGACTAGGGGAACCAATGAGGTACATATTCAAATAATTCTTTCATATGCTATTAGGATGTGCCACGGATTAATTGCAGCTAACTGGGTCCCATCAAGCGGCTTAATAACGTAACCCTATGCATATTTATTCAGAAGTTGTCCAACTTTGGTTGTGGGTTTTTCGGGCTCTTTGGCTGTGTTCTGAAGGTTGTTCTTCCTGACGTTTTGCCAGTCTC